CCCTTTGTTTAGTTGATGATGCATGGAGGGGATTGTAACCATGGCAATGAAATGATATAAGATAGGATGAATATAAAACTAATGTTTTCCCATGTAAACTATCACATAATTCACAATAAAACATTTTTTAAAAAAGATAATGAATATCAAAATAATTAAGAGATTAGGTTTAGGTTCTATTCTACACTGTGTGGCTTCATTTGCATAACAAAAGAAACCCCTATTTCTAAACAGGATCACAGCCTCAGGTACAAGGGCTAGGGACTCAACACAGTGTTGGAGGAGGCACAATCCATTCCATACCATAGAGGCTCTAAGGGCCATGTGGGGCAGCTTAGCCTTGGTGAAGCCATGTTGACCTACTAGAGGACTCTTGAGTGCCCACTTCCAAGTTGTCAGGTGGTTAGCTCTGACTTTTGTTCACCCAACAAATATTTACTGAGCATTTATTAAGCACCAGGTAGCACAGTTAGGTGTTGGGCTGCTGACCAACAGGTCCGAGGTTCAAACCCACCAGGTTTGCTCCTTGGGGAAGATGAGTCTACCTGTTCCCATAAAGATTTACAGTCTGGAAACCCTACACAGGGTCACTATGAGTCAGAATGGATTCGATGGCAGTGTGTTTGGTTTGTTTGGGGTGCTGAGCCTAGGTACAAGGTCACCAAGAGAGACACAGTCGACCAGGGCATTGGTTGGAATCATGCTTTACTCACACAGAGAAGAGACAGAGCAGGTTCAGCTTCAACTGCAGGCTTCAGTCCAGGGCTGTGTGACAGTCATTTACCCAACATCACCCACTGTTCTAAACAGCAACTGGCCAGTAAGTAAAACCCACCTCTCAGGGTCTCATAGCTGAGTCCCAGCTTGGGTTTTAGGAAGTTAATTAGCCCCTCTGAGCAACAGTGTCCTCATCTGGCAAGTGCGGGTAGGAATTGGACCCTCCTGGGTGTGAAGCTTACACGTAGAATTCTGCCTAGTCTAGACTCCCTCCACTCCCCCGACTCCCCAGAAGAGAAGAGCACAGGCAACTCCAGTTGTATAGAAAGTGCTGAAATCACAGCAGTGAGTGACCTGGTATTATGAGAGGTGGGGCTTTGGTTTTTCTGCGTCCTTTTGTTTGAGAAACAGCCCTATGCACATAACCTCAGGGATCAAGAGGCAGATCCTGCCTTACAGCCTCTGGCCAAGATCTTCCTTAGAGGCGGTTGAGCCCAGTAGAGGGAGATGCTGGCAGCAAGGTGAACGCCTCTGGATGCCGTTTTTCACCAGCTCTGTCTGCCTCTCCCTGCAGGGTTTGGGGTATTTGGGCTTCCTGTGGGACTCTGCAGTTGGGATGGAGCTGAAAGACACCCCCTTGCAGGAGAGCTCGCCGGGCAATGGGCATGAAAAATCGTCGCATCCCAGCCCTTACCTCGCGCACTTCAAGGTACTGACACATTCCACTTGTCTTTCTAAGAAGGAAAAAGAAGCTCTTCTTTCTAAACCTTGGTGACTGGCACCTCTTCTTTCTGACCTGGTTTCTGTCTCTCAGGGTTGGGTTAGCATCTGCTCCTGAGGTGACTCTCAGCCCCAGTGAGTGCTGTGGTGTCTGGGCAGGAAACCAGATGGCTGCCTCCCAAATCTGACACACATCAGTGTCACCAGAAAACATGATTTCAATGAGTGATTCCTGGGCCCTGTTCCAGACAGTGGTGGTTCCCTGGTAGAATTGTCACCTTCCGTGTGGGAGACCCCGGTTTGATTCTGGGCCAGTCACCAGGGCAAGGCAATAGCTAGGACCAGCCAATGTCATAGGAGGTAAGCCGTGTACCCTGGCTTCCTGGCAGCATCTGATGCTTGTTGCCATGGCAAACAGTTGGGCAGGATTAGGAAACCCTGAGCATCTGAGTAACACTGGGATTCTGGGGAGGCAGATACTGTCAGTGAGTGCTCACCTGGATACTGGGGTCTGCATCTTAGGCTGCCCACCCGTGTGTCCCCTGGCCTGCCAGTATTATGGGAGCCTTGTTCTTTATTCACTTGAAGTCAGCTGGAAGTCAGCATGGGAAGAGAAAGTCCCGGGGAGCAAAGAGCACAGAGAGGAGTCAGTGGACTGTTGGGGGTGGGGGAGATGCAGCAGGTCCTAGCTGGGTCTTACAGGTAGGCCACATGGGTAAGAGTGCCAAGTCTTTGTTAAACAACCAGCTGCTAGAGCCACCTCATTCTTTATGGTTGCTTAAAAGGAAAAAAAAGTGTGATACTTCCACATATGCCCAATTTACCAGGCTTTCCTGGTGTGGTACTGTAGGATAAGCATGGGACTGCTAACCACAAGGTTGGTGGTTCAACCCACCAGTCACTCCTCAGAAACCTTTTACAGCACAGGTGGGGAACTGTTTTTTGTCAAGGGCCATTTGGATATTTATAACATCATTTGCGGGCCATCTAAGATTATCAACTTAAAAATGGCTGGGACTGCCTTTGCCTTGGCAAGGCCAGACCAAATGGTTTCATGGGTCTTACACAGCCCGTGGGCTGGACGTTCCCCACCTCTGTTTTATGAAGTCACCATGAGTCAGATGACTCCATGTCAATTAACAATAACGAGGCGTCCCTAAGGAACGCTGGTGGTGTTGTGAGTTAAGCATTGGGCTGCTAAACACAAGATCAGTAGTTCAAATCCAGCAGCCCACTCCAAGAGAGAAAAGATGAGGCTATCTGCCCCCGTGTAGGTTTACAGTCTCAGAAACCCAAAGGAACCGCTGTACTTTCTGTCCTGTAGGGTTGTTATTAGTCAAAATCAATTTGATGGGAATAGGTTTGGTTTGGAGGAATCCCTGCCTGATGCAAAAGGTTAAGCTAACCAAAGGGAAGTTCTGCCATTCTAGTCCCAAGAAGCAGCCATGGAAACACACTTGTACTCTGACACGTGTGGGGTCACTATGAATCAGAATTGGCCTGAGGGCGCCTGCTAGGAGGTCCTAGATGATATAAGTGCTCTCATCTGCTAACCAAGACGTTGGTCCCTCAAATCCATCCAGAGGTGCCTCTTTCCAAAAGGCCTGGAAACCTCAATGGAAGGCAGTTCTATCCTGCAACAAATGGAGTTGCCATAAGTCAGAATCAACTCACAACAACTAATTTGGTTTGGTTTTTAAGGAGGGTACCATGTTGACTCCACAGCACATAACCACTTCTACCACCATGTTGGGGTAGGTCAAGATCAGTCTTGTTCCTACTGGATCCTGGGAAGAATCCTAAGATGGTGGGGGTGTGGGCTGGCCTGGGGGTTGTTCATGGTCCTCACTTTGTACAGAGACCATTGATGAGTGGGTTGTAATTGACACAAGAAACATGAGCCTCTTCCTGTCCGTTTGTTTCCTGCCCAGATGGGAAGTAATGAGTTGACCCTTGTTAACCTTCAACTGGCAGCCCTGACCCTCCCAGGGGCCGAGAATCCCAGCAAGAATCCCACTGACGTTGTCCACTTGACCAGCTTCACGCAGACCCTGCAGGAGACCCTGAGAGGTAGGGATGGATGGTCTTCCTCACCCTCTCCCAGCCAGCGGGAAGGGAAGTTCTTCTGGGGTCAGCTCTGGGATCACAGAGGCCAGGGGTCTCCCACCTCCCAGCATCAGTGCAGCCACGTGTACAGACTCCTGCCTCATGTGGAGCCACCACGCTCCCCACAGGGGTTCTTGTCTCTGTAGACCTAACATGTAGGCTCCTTTGTGGCTCTTCAGCCTCGTTCTTGGGAAGAGGGAGGAGAACATTAGTGAGATGTCCCACTGCAACAGCGCCACCTGGAGGAGATTTGCATCATCGTCAAGGGAAAGAGAGCTAGAAAGTGACCAGGGGCAAAATCTCCCTGGTGGGCTGCAGATCATACAAGAGGGGTCCAGAGCCTGTCAGAAAATCTGGGTTGTTTTCTCTCACCTCCTTTGCCAACCCGCAGAACCTCAGGAATGTCCCAGAACCACTTTTAGCGTCCTCTATAAATAAATGGCACTAACTCACAGGAGTGTCCAGAGGGTTCAATCAGACGTATCTGTCCAAGTGCCCAGCACATGAAAGGGGTTCACTGCACTTGAGACTCAAAATAGCAGCAGAATTAAGAGAGAGCACTGAACAGAGAAGCTCTTGCAAAGAAAGGCAAGCTCTACGCTTTCTCGGCCCCTGATGAACAGAGAAAGTTCATTGGTGCTCAGTTTACTCATTATCCAAAGGCAGAAGTTGAAAAGCCGGCAGGACTGTGATGTTTGCAGTTTGTCTTGGTTTTTCCGAGCACTAACCTCCTATAATCGAGTGTTTGCAGCTGGAGGCCTGGAATTCTCTTGCATAATCTCCAGTCTTGACCAGTGTCTATTGGACCACCAGGGCTCCTCTTTGTACAGTTGGCCCCCCTCAGTGGATGGTTCATGAAGAGCCAACTGCAGAAATAGCTCAAAAGTACAGGCTTACATTTTGAGACAGGACATGCTCTGGTCAGCATCCAACTTATGAATCCCTATCCCTCGCTGGCACAGTTTTGCACTCAGCTGAAATGTTGACAGTTCAAATCCACTCAGAAGCACAGCAGAAGAAAGGCCTGGCAATCTGATTCCAGAAAACAGTTGTGGTCAAGAAAACTCTGTGAAGCACAGTTCTGAAACACATGAGGTTGCTTTGAATTAGAATTGATGCAACAGCAACAGGTTTGGTTTCAGGTGTTAAGGATGGTACCTTCAAGGGCACTTGTTTATCCACAGTTCCTGGTGTGGTGCTGTAGGATAAGCACTGGATGCAAATCACAATGGCGGCAGTTCAAACCCACCAGCTGCTCCTTGAAAACCCTATACAGGGTCTCTAGGAGTCAGAACTGACTCTATGGCACTTAACAACATCAAGTCTGTAGCCTATTCAAAAGGATGACTTTATAGCTTTGAGATTCAGTGGACAGTTCTACTTTTCTTGATCCCAAGCTTTTCCTTTTCTTTTCATGGAAGCACAAAAGAAAGATTCCTCTTCCTAATTTTGAGGTAGCCTCAGGCACTCACTGGCTTTTCTGATACCTAGGCAGTGGTCAGATTTCTGCCAGATGGCCTGGCCAGGTTGTTGTCCCAAGTTGCAAAGGGACTACCAGTTCACACCCTGGCCTGGCCTGGCCTTGATGTCACCAAGCGTGAGCAGCACCCATGCTCTCTAAGTCCCTACCTTGAAACTCCTATGCAATTAATTGTTAACTGATGACTGTGGACTCAAGGAACATGTCCAGGCAGCCCAAGGTGCAGCCCAGGTAAATAGACTGAGGTGGTTCAGCTCAAACAAAGGTAAGCCTTTCATTCCACAGGCCCCTTCAAACAAACAGAACCGATTTGATGAGCAAATTTTGGGCCTGTCTTGCTTGGGTTCGCAGTGGGAAGGGTGCCCTGGTGGAATTTCCTTCTTTCTGACTCCACCGCAGCGAAGAGGGTCTTGCTTTGAGAACTCAGCAAAAGTGAAGCCTGCCTGGTATTACTGCTTACATCAGCGCAGACCAGTCCCTGGCACTTCATACTTACAAAGATGCTGAGGAAATCAGCCCCAGCCAGGCTTTCTCCCTTCACTTCTGGGAAACAAGGGAATGAGAAAAGAGTGCACACTCCAGTCCTCTTCACAGCCCACAACCCTCAGAGACAAGAGTGGCTTTGGAGCCTGCACAGATGCTGACTTCACTGAGAGAAGAGAGGTGAGCCCTCCCCTCACCATCGCGAATCTGGATGTGCCTGTTCAAAGAGCCTCACAGCTGGCTTTACTGATGCTCAACACCAGCATTCTCAATTCGCAAAAGAGAATTGAGAATCATCTTTTTTGGCCTGAGTGTTTTCAGGTCTGCATACCAACAAAAACCTTCCTCATTATAGAGGAAGCTCTGACTCAGTCTGTTAAACCTTTAGTTATTCAAGAAGTGGAGCATCTTCCCCTTCTTTCTTTCCAACATCAATGGCACCTTGTTCTGAGGTATTCCTTCTGCCTGATTTCTTCCCTTAGCACACATGTAGTGAGAGTGTCGGCCATGTGGCAGGGTCTGTTGTGTACTGAATTCGAGCTCTGGTAAGAGGTCGGATTTGAGGGTTCCTGGGTGACTTTGGACAAGACCTCCAAGCTCTCAGAGCCTCCACCTGCAGAGCAGAGGTGGTCATAGTACCTGCCCCATAAGTTGCAACAGTGCAGTGTGGTGTGCTGTCAAGGATGGACTCAGAACAGCAAGGCTTTAGGGGATGGCCGTTACTGGTGCCATGTAGGAGTGTGATTGTTAGTATAATCCTCAAGCCGCCCTTCCTGTTGGAAGTTGGGATCCATTTCTCAAGACAGTTCAGACTGAACCCAACATGAGTACCCAGGTTGTTAAAACACAGAGTAAAGTTTACATAACCCCTGCTGGCCACCCAGTCACGCTTCCAGTTCAGTGTGTCACCTGGAGTGTAAGAGTGCCCTCTGGTGGTAATTTGTGTCATTTCACACTGAAGACTACTCTGACTTCCATGGATTGCTAGAAGGAACAAATCTGTCTTGAAAGAAGTACAACCAAAATGCTCCTTAGAAGAGGGACAAGCAAGACTTCATCTCACATACTTTGGAGAGATGAAGTTATCAGGAGGGACCAGTCCCGAGAGAAGGGCATGATGCTTGCTAAAGTAGAGGGTCAGCAGAAAGGAGAAAGACCCTCAGTGAGATGGACTGACACAGTGGCTGAAATAATGAGCTGAAGCGGAGGGACAATAGTGAGGAAGTCAGGACCCGACAGTGTTTCGTTCTGTTGTAAACCAGAGTCAGCTCTGGTTTTATTCCAAGGAGCCTTGGTGTCTCCATGGGTTAAGCATTTGCCCTGCAAGGTCAGCAGTTCAAATCCACCAGCTACTCCCTGGGGAAAGATGAAGCTGTCTGTTCCCATAAAGAGTGACAGTCTTGTGAAACAAAATGACTTGGGGGTCTCCTAAAATTTAGACATTTCTGTGCATCAGACAATTTCACCAAATGAATAAAAAGAGAACCCACAAACTGGGAAAATTTTTATGACAATGACCTATCAGACAAGGACCTAATCTCTTGAATTCATAGAAAATTTCACCTCAACAACAAAAAGATAAATCCAGTTAAAAAATGTATAGAGGACATGCTCGAACACTTCACCAAAAAAGACATTCATGCAGCCAACAAATATGAAGAAATGCTCATAATCTTTCACCATTTGTTGTTATTAAGTGCCGTCGAGTCAGTTCTGACTCGTAAAGACCCTTTATTGGGTTTCCAAGGAGTTGCTGATGGGTTTGAACCGCTGAGCTTGTGGTTATCGGTCTAGTGCTTATCATACACCAGGACTCCATTAGTAAGATACATCTCAAAACAACAATGAGATCACATCTCATTCTAGGATTACTAGCAAAGTTAACAACAAAAAAAGAAGAAGAAGAAAACAAATGCTGGTGAGGATGTGGGGAGACAAGAACCTTCATGTACTTCTGATAAGACTGTGAAATGGCGCAATCACTGAGGAAATGGTATGGTACTTCCTGAAAAAGTTGGAAATACCAATACCCTAGGACACAGCAAACATATGGTACTTGGCACATCATACACACCGATACTTGGTACATACCCTAGAGAAATAAGATCCAGAACACAATTACTCATGTATGCACACCCATGCTCATCACAACATTGTTCACAATAGCAAAATGGTGGAGACAACTTAAATGTCCATCCATGGAAGAATGGATAAACAAACTTTGGCAATGTTAAGAATAATGATGAATCTGTGAAACACTTCATAACATAGATGAACCCAAAGGACATTATGCTGAGTGAAATTAGTCAATCAGAAAAGGACCAATATTCTATGAGACCACTATTGTAAATAGTCAAGAAAAGGTTTTCACACTAAAAAAATATTCTTTGATGTTTAGCAGGGGGTCAGAGGGGAAGAGAGGGGAAGCTACTGGATAGGTACATGTTAACTTGGGTGAAGGGGAGGTGACATACAAAAAGAGAGAGAGGTCAGCAAAATCTGAAGAAGACAGGAAGCCACTGGGGAGAGTGGAAGAGTTAAAGACAACAGAGGGAAATACTGTTACATACACAATCCTGAGGTAATGGTGATCCACGAGTGGATGCGTAGATAGGCACGCAGGCTGAGAAGGAGAGTGGGAGTTTACCCATGAGCTTCCATAGGTTTGATAGAGGATGTTTGTACACAGGTACCTACCTCTGCTGCAAATGTATCCATGACTATGGTGGAGTGAACAGGGTAAGATTATAAAGACCTTTTGGTTAAAAATAACCAAATACTTTGAAGGAGTGAGCCATAGGACCTGGGGACTTAGGATCATAGTCTTGAAAGACACCAAAATCAGTTGCCATCTAACACAGTCCACAAAGACATTGTCTCCATCCTACTTTAGTTGGTTGCAGCTGGATCTGAAAAGCTCATGAGCAGCCATCTAAGGTGCATGCATTGGTCTTTTCCTATTCGGAGGAAAGAGTGATGAACATTGAAGAAGATACAGGGA